TGAAAGATGTAATTACTGTCCAGCACAATGGAGAGCTGATACTTAGGAACAGTTATTGCTCCAGGTTAACTGGAAAAGAAGGAACTAGGGGAAGCTTCTTTGAAAAATGTAACATCAACATCAATGTCAATCACATAAATTCTAATTCTGCTGTACTTCTATTCCTACAAATGCATTAAACATTCAGTTTAACTTGTTCTTTGTTTCTTTTTGTCTTTTCATATTTGAATGTAATTTTTAAAAAAAGATCAGGCAAATAAAGCAGACTCTTAGACCTGTGATGTCATCTAGACAGTGGTTAGGCAGAAGTCAGCATTCCACAATGAGTGAATTCCACAGGAAGGATTTGACTGGCCCAATTATGCCTAAAGCAGCTAGGGGTCTGGTTGTGGGCTTCACTTGAATGATGATGGGATAAAGCCAATCCTGTGCCTGAAGGCTATGATCCCAGCTACCTAGGGGCTGAGGTTCTGAGTTCAAGCCTGGCCTTTGCTGTAGTGTGCGTTTGTGTCTAACTTAGCCGGATCTTGTGTCAAATTTAAAAATGCAAAAGGGGTTGGAGATGTAGCCTAGTGACAAAGTGTTTGCTTAACCTGAAGCCCTGGGTACAGTCCACAACACTGTACATCCCTCTACTCACTGTGTAGCAGAGGATGGCCTTGAACTTCTGGTCCTCCTGTCGGCCTTGAACTTCTGGTCCTCCTGTCGCTGCCTCCCAAGTGCTATTGTTACAGGTGTGTACTATCACACCTGCCCCCCACTTCCTATCTCAGGGTCTCATCATGTAGCTCTGATTGGCCTAGGATTCATGGTCCTAGTTTAGGCTCCCACGTGCTTCAATTATGGTCATAAACCACCATTCCTGGTTTAAAATGTATGTTTATGTTGAATATGCACATTGTTTTTGTTGCACATCAGGGTGTTTTGGGGGGAGGGGTTGAAACTAGGTTTCTTTGTAGCCCTGGCTGCCCTGGAGCTCAGTATGTAGACCAGTACAGAGATCCTCCTGCCTCTGCCTCCCAAGTCCTGGGATTAAAAGGTGTGTGCCACCACATACATCCTTCCTGCACATCATTTTTAAATTAACTTCTTTTGAAGTGGTCTCAGATAGTCCAGGCTGAGCTATGTAGTCAAGGATAACTTTGAACTTCCAGGCTCTCTGCATGCAGATGCTGTATTGCATGTGTGTGCCATCATGGCCAGCTCATTGCTTTGAAAAAAAAAAAAAAAATATATATATATATATATATATATATATATATATATATATATATGGGGTTTTTTGGGTTTCTCTGCATAGCTTTGCACCTTTCCTGGAACTCACTCTGTAGCCCAGGCTGGCCTAGAACTCACGGAGATCCTCCTGCCTCTGCCTCCCAAGTTCTGGGATTAAAGGCATTCACCAACCATTGCCCAGCCGGTTATTATATTTTTATGTGTGTGTTTTACCAGTGTACATGTATGTGCATCTTCTATGTGCCTATGGATGGTTGTGAGCCACCATGTGGGTGCTAGGAATTGGACCCAGCAAATGTTCTTAACCACTGAGCCATCTCTCCAGCCTTGAAGTAAAGTGATTTATAATGTCCTTAGTCACCAATGGTTTTACTCACACCTTTGGTATTATTTTCGTATTCCCAAATACTATACCTGATAAGTTTTGCGCTATAAACTTTAGACTGACTTCCTATTGTATTTGAAATCTGTCTTTATTTTATGTGAATAGGTGTTTTGTCTATCTGTATGTAGACCAGATGGGTTTTGGTGTCAGAAGAGCTCAGAAGAGGATGATGGATTCCCTGGGACTGGAGTTAGAGTTGTGAGCTGACATGTGGATGCTGGGACTTGAACCTGGGTCCTCTGGAAGGGCAGCCCCTTAACCACTGAGCCATCTTTCCTGCTTCTAGCTGTTTTATGCTTTTTTTTTTTTTTTTTTT